AAAGATACAATATGAATGTAAGGAGTGTGGGAAGGCCTTTAGTTGTCCCTCATCCTTCAGAGCACATGTGAGAGATCACACTGGAAAGATACAATATGAATGTAAGGAGTGTGGGAAGGCCTTTAGTCATTCCTCATCTCTTACTGAACACTTAAGAACTCATAGTGGAGAGAAGCCCTATGAATGTAAGGAATGTGGAAAAGCCTTTATTAGTTCCTCCCACCTTACAGTACATATAAGAACTCACACTGGAGAGAAAACTTATGAATGTAAGAAATGTGGGAAAGCCTGTTTTTATCCCTCAGTCCTTAGGATACACATGAGAACGCACACGGGGGAAAAACCCTATGAATGTAAGGAATGTGGGAAAGCATTTCGTCAGTCTTCATACCTTACTGTACATGCAAGAATGCACACTGGAGAGAAACCCTTTGAATGTCTGGAATGTGGAAAAGCCTTCAGTTGTCCCTCATCCTTTCGAAGACATGTGAGATGCCACACTGGAGAGAAACCATATGAATGTAAGGAATGTGGGAAAGCCTTTGCTTGTCCTTCCCACTTTCGAAGACATATAAAAACTCACTCTAGAGAAAACATATAGAGGTAAGGAATATGAGAATGTCTGCAAGTGTTCTTCAAATCTTTGGCAACTTGTGCGTTCTTATACTGTGGAGACACCCTATGAATGTAAGAAAGTAGGAAATTGTAGCTCATTTTTTGGGAAGACTTGAGGACACCTGAGAGAAGCCCTGTCTATGTAAACCATTTGGTTAAACCTTCATGAACATCACTTTTTGTGTATAAGAAAATTTATACTAGAAATGAAGATTAGTGCCTCATCCTCAAAGAGGATTGCTGGCTCATTAATCTCCAGTGTTTCCTGATACTTACATGCTTAAGGTGATATTTACATTCTCAGCTCTAGCCATATACTTTCTAGTATGAAGTGTTTTGATTTTGGTTCTGATGTGACTGTTACTTCCATTACAAAGTCTTTTGGATCCATGGAGGATTTGAAGTAAATTTTTCATTGGCAGGCAGGGGTGGTCTTTATTTTTTAGTTGGTTTCTAGTTAATGCTCAGTGCTTTTTAAGTGTGTAGTCATTGTAATATCAATACTTTGGTTTTTGTTGATATTTTCATTTTGGTCTAGCATGGCAGGTACTGGAAATGGCCTATGTAATATTTTTCTTCCCCTTCTTTTTAACTAAGAGAATCTACAGTTTTTGGGATTATCAGTTTTTATTAAAAGCTTTTCATGTCTAATAAGTGATTTCAGCAGAAATTAATAAGTGCAAAGGTCTTATAGGAGGATTGTCTCATCTGATAAGCTATTTTTATATTTTTTTCTTTGTTCTTGCTCATGGCTGGTAATTGGACCCAATATTTTGAGTTTACAAATTATATTAACTTGGATATGGCTGGAGACTACATTTCTTAAATCACTTTTTCCAGTTCTAGGTTAGAGTTGTCTAAAATAAGAGTTTGCATGAGATTTGGAAAGCATAAGGGAAGAAGCCATTATTCTCCTTTTAGTGAGGCTGTCAGACAGGGAGACATGTAGGGGCCTGGCGGGCTCCAGTTTTCAGCTCAGTTTCCTGATTATTGGGCCCACTGAGAAATACTTGCTTAAAACTGAACATTAAGTCTTTGACATCAGCTTCCTCAAAGGCAGCAGCTTCATAGACATCTCATAGGCTCTTTGATCATGGCCATACACAGCTTCTTGGATTTTCTGGCAAGTTCTGGCATTGTTATTTTGCTAATATTGCAGTTCTCCTGGCACATCCACTGCCTTATTAGAGTTGGCCCCAGTTTGGGGCAGGATTGCTGTCCTGTTCATAGTCCAGTCCCATCATGTAACTCTTCATGGGGAAAGACATCCATGCAAGCTTACTATGATCTCAAAAGCAAGAATGGCTGTGGACAATGAGGGAAATTATCCTAGGTATAATTGAGGTAAGCATTAGGCATGGTGTCATCTCACTTTAGCGGAAGATTTATATTTAACACCTTCAGACAGGGAAGATTTTACTCCTTTTTTTATGTGAGAAGATGAACACTGTGAGCTACTTCAGGTACATTTAGTTACCCTTATTCCTTCTATTGTATTTCTCCTTTATCTCTAAAAGTATAACTATACCACTTCCCTTTAATCACTTTTTACTGTTTTATTAAGGTATACACCAGTGTGCATGAAGTGTGCTAATCTTCAGTGTACAGCTTGATGAAATTTTTCAAAAGTATACATCATGGTAAACGTGGAACATTTCCAGGACTCCAGGAAGTTCATTCTTCTTCTCAATAATTACTCCACAGGGACAACCACAATTTTGTCTCATCACAATTGATTAGGTTTGCTTGTTCTTGATTTTCATATAATTGTTAAAATACAATGTGTACAGTTATGGGTTTGGCAGCTTTTGTTCAAAATAATGTCTAGTTTGCCTTTTAATTGATACTTTGATAGACTTATGCAGTTCTCTTGGTATATGCTGTATACATGGGGATGAGATTACTGAATCAAAAGGTACACTTTGGGCCGGCCTGGTGGCGCACTCGGTAGAGTGCAGTGCTTGGGAGTGCGGCGGTGCTCCCGCCGAGGGTTCGGATCCCATATACAGACCGGCCCGCTAACTGGTTGAGCGCGGTGCAGGCGTGACACTGAGGGTTGCGATCCCGTTGCCGGTCGAGGTATGGGTGTGACACTGAGGGTTGGGATCCCGTTACTGGTCACGAAAAAAGACAAAAAGGAAAAAAAAAAAAGGTAGACTTTATGTTTAGTTTTGGTAGGTATTCCAGATTTTCAAAAATACTGATTTTACCAATAATCCCCAAAACAATGCATAAAAGTTCCAGTTGTTCCACATACCTGCCCAGCACTTTCTAATTTAGCCATTCAGTGGAGTGTATGAAGATATTGTTTTTGGTTTTAATTTGCATTTACCTGATATGTAATGGTTTTGAGTTCTTTTTTGTGTGCTTATTAGCTGGTTGGACATCTTTTTTATCAGGGCTTCTTTTGAAGTATTTCACCCATTTTTGTTTCCTTTTTTTTTTTTAATTGAAGTTGGGTATTTTTGTTATATGTTTTTTTTGGTATTCTTTATTGGATGTATGTATATCTTCATATCTAGATACATATGCATACATATATATAAACCATGTTTTATATATTATATATAAAATATATGTATATTATATGTACAAAATATAATATGTATATTATATATACATGTATTATTACAGGTAACGTTTCCCATTCTTTGCCTTCTCTTTTCACTTTTTATTTTGTTTTATTTTTTTGACATTTTACTTGTTAATATTTGATAGATTTCTGAACATAGGTACATATATGTAAATACAGGTATGCCAGCAAGGATATACATATGCTGTAAATATGTAGCAAGGAAATATATAACATAGATATAAATATGTAGCAGATATAAATATGTAATATGATTTTATCCTAGATGGGGAACTATGCTTAATCAGTCAGATACCAGCCACAACATAACTAGGTCTTTTCTCATGAAAATAATACCTCTACTGCAAAGTCTGGATGGTAAATTTTCCATGTTTCTTGCTTGTGGGGATTATCCAATTCACTTCTTTTTAGATAAAACCTGTTCTCTTCTATAAAAGATGTATGAAACCAGAAGAAAAATGAGCAGTTGTAATAATATTTAGGAAGATCAGAAGAGAAAAATTTCACTTTCACATCATCACACAGTGCTGGACAGTAAAGCACCTGAATTGTTACTTCGTTAGCTTGGGCATCATACAATATACAGTTCCCCAAAGAAGAACAGGAAAAGATAGGCTGTTGCTGCCTATTATTTGTATTTTTAGATCACTTCCATTGCGTTTTCCAACACCATCAATTGAATAAATAATAAATCTTATCCAGAGTTTTTTTTCTCAGGGATTGAGTCCAGGCATAGATTTATTTCACTTTTGCAAAATATCCAACATATGTCTTCTCTGAGAAGGAGTTTCTGCTCTCTGAAATTCAGTGCTGATGGTTTTATCTGTTCATCATTCTCTGAAATAAGAAAAGCTCTCCTCTGCTTTTGAAAATATTCCACTGGCAATAAGGCAGGCACAAACCATAGTTCCAGTTCTTCCTTTACCTTTCTTACAGTGAATCACTACAATGTTTTCATTATCTTGAGACAGCTACTCATGTACTTCCTTGGAGAATGCCACCATCTCACACAGAGAGGGGACATTGCGATGATCAGTCAAGACTATGGATCCTATAATGGAAGTGCTTGGGATCATAAGCTCTTTCACTGCATAGGCTGTAGACTCAATAGTGGTTTGGGTGCTTAGTATCCAGGTATCATACAACTTCCTTTATTGGGTTCCTATACATAGATTCCTTCCCAGCAGATGGAAATGACATTACTATAATGTTCCCAGTAATGTAGGTGAGGTCCAGGTCAAATCCATCCCTCCTATACCATCTTCTGTTTCTGGAAACCCACCTTCTGGTCTGCTTTGCAAGGTGTCTCATCTGGTTTGTCAGGTGGAAAACTCAGCAAAATGGTAGTATGCAAAAGGCTTAATAAAATGGCTGATGTGGGGAAATCTCCAGGAGAATTAAAATTATACAAACTATTAAAGCTGTCGACTTGCAGAGTGCCCACTGTAATTGCAGAATCCAAAGTGGTCTGCATATCTGAAAAGTATGTTTTTATCCCTTCTACCTATAAGTAGAATACCCATAGGAAAGAATAATGAAATTATAAAACTGATGAAATGATACAAACAAGGGTTTTCATTTATGGCACCATTACCAATCATATTTATAGTGTTAAGCAACATATTCTTAACACCCAGTACAATTCCAAGGATTCTGAATACAAAGGATGATAAAATTGCACATGCAAGTTTCTTTCGCTTGCTGTCATATGAAGAATCAAAGCCATCATGACCATTATCTAGCCTGGCAAGTTGTCCTGATGTATCATAAGGAGAGAGTCAGTGTCTTCATTGCCATCATGGGATCTGGGGAGTTGTTCTATTTGGCTTTCATTGTTGGCTCCATCACAGATTTCTGATGATAATTCATTGGGATCAGTGCCATTACTGTCATTGTTGCCAAAGGATTCTGCAGATGCTGTGGAAGCATCCATAACTTCGTTACTTCTATGGCATACCAACCAGAGACATAAAGGGTTCCACTTTAATTTCTGCATGATGTTTACTGGTTGAATTTAATCAACAGTTAATCTCGAGATAACGCCTGTGGGGTCATGCCCTTCCTTGCCACAGGATTAGCAACTAACCCAGGATTAGCAACACACTCCTGGCTGGCCTCTGGAACAGCACCCCCTTCCTGATCCTGGCTGAGCTGTCCACTGCCCCCATCCCCACCTGCCTTGGAACAAAACGGAAACCATGACAGGGTGGGAGTGGCAGCCATGTTGGCAGGGGACCCACTCTATTTCTGTAAACTGTCAAGGGAATTTATTGGTTTGATTACTAAAAAGTCCTTGGGTATAACTAGCTTCAGGCATGACTGTGTCCTGGGGCTAAAGGTTATTATCTGCATCTTCTATTTCTGCATATTACATTAGCTTTTCTTCCAGGCAGGCTGTCTCTTCATAGTAGGCCCAAGAAGTTCTAGGCTACTTTCTGCAGGGGGAAGAGAGTGATTGTCTTTTTGTAAAGTCCCAGTGTAAGTATCAGAAGGGAAACTGATTGGTTCTGATTGGCTCACTTGGCCACCATAATCCAATCCCTGTGGCCAGGATAATGTAA